AACAATAAAACAAGTAATAATAGGTTATTAAACAAATAATAAATAATTAATATATCAATCATATATTATGTTAATTATAATCTATTAATTAGTAAATAGTTGGTAAATAAAAAATAAATAGTAATTACTCAATTAATAATTAATATTAAATTATAATTATCAATAATTAATATACTAATCAATAATAATTAATAATTGATTAGTAATTAATCATTATAAAAAAAATAATTACCAAAAATTGAGCATGTGATATATCAAATAATGGATTATTAGATAAACATTAGTAATTAATTAACAAATTGTTTAATTATGTAACTAAAAGTTAATAATTTAAGTAGTAAATAGAATATAAATTATGTATATACTAATTATTTTTCTTAATACACTAATTTATTACTTGTAATCCAGTAAATATGAGTACATCATTAACATAATAATTATTTATAATTAATTATTAATTACTATTTTTTATTATTTAGCATATTAATTTATTATATATAGTTTAATTACTGATATACTCATTAATGATAATTTATTCATTATTATTATATTATTAATATATTAATTTAAAATTATTAATTACATGTACTTAAAATAAACATAAATATAACCAAACACAATTTTACTTTTTTATCATACTCAAATTAATATTTTAAAAAACTACAAAACGTAATTTTAAAATCAATTTCAAAATAAACCATCACATTTTTATTTTTATATTAAAATAAAATTATTATAAAAACATTACAAAACAGACACTTTATTTTGACCGGACAATTTTTGATCGGGGGCTCTAAAAAGAAAGAGTCCCATAGGCAGAAAACACCAAAAGTGGAATGCTTTTATTTCGACTGGTCAATTATTCATTACTGGTCCACTTTTTACAAATCCTTAGTAATAGTATTGTGTGGAACAACCAATCAAAGGCAACGTGGGTTTATTTGTAGACCCATTAAGAGGGCTATTTACATACACCTTATAACAGAGGAATAAATATGAAAATAAATAATTGTACCGTCTTAGCCGGTTTTTGCGGCGTTGGTTGTTGCAACTTGCATGTCTTCTTCAAATGTGGACAGGTCGAGTTGAAAAAGAAAAAAGAAAATTATGTTGAATAGCAGATTTTAAAATCCAATGGAAGTAAATGACATAATTTACTTAACATGTTAATAAATACGTACAACATATTTAAAATTTTTGAACCGTTTTTGAGTAATTATTTTCCGCTTTTATCCCTTCTTGTTTCCTTTTTAATTTTTCCTCTTTTTTCGTTTCTCTCTCCTCCATCAATTCACGTCGTTGATGTCTCTCTTTTCTCTCTCCGCCCCTTCCCTCAGGATCAATCCTGATAACAACTACTTGAGTACAAGACGGCACTAGTTGATCTGTAAATCATAAAAGATGAGGTCCTTACGCGAATTATGTAAGGGCAAGAGAAAGAAAAATAAGAACTCTCGTTTTCCGCTCTTCTGCCCCACCCCACAACAACACTCTCTCCCCCTACCCAACAGTTACGTGTTCGGCATCATCACGAGCTACGCTGTGAGAAGACAAAGATTGCGGAGACCTTGAGATCCAGACGAAATTGTATCGCGATGACGACTCGTTGAAAGAGCTCGCCTTTTGATTCATTCTCATGGCGATGTGGTTTGTCGATGGGAACAGTGAGAGGTGATTCAACGTGAGGATGAGGCTTATGAGGATCAACAACGAGCTCTCAGTCTGTTGTCAGAGAAGATGTTGTGTTTGGAGCTAGAGATCTCGCCATCGGTAGGCTGCGACAACAAAGATAGGTGTTTTTAAAAGAGGAGAAAATTGTTGAACTTACCTTACAGTGCATGTGTTTGAATTTTTACTTTTTACTCTTAAATAATAGTCAAATATCAATAAGAGTAAATGATAAAAAAGATATCTGCCTCTTTTCTCTTTTTAACAAAGAGAGGAAGAGAGAAGAGAGAGAACAAAGTTTTTTTTTGAATAAAAGAATAAGGGTTATTTTTGATATTTTTCTTAGTGTGGTAAATGGATTTAATAGGCCTCGTTCGTTTCGCTGATTCGAGTTTAGAATTCGAGTTTTGCTACAGTAAAAAGCTCTCACAAACAGCCACATCTAACTTTTTTGCTACAGTAAAAAGCTCTAACATAAAATCACATCTCAACTCGAATTCTAAACTTGAATCAGCGAAACGAACGAGGGTCTTTGTTCGCTTCACGAATTCAAATTTTCAATTCGATTTGAGATGTGACATTTTCTGAGTGTTTTTAACTATAGCAGAAAAAGTTAGATGTGATATTTTCTGAGAGCTTTTAACTGTAAAAACTTAGAACTGAAAATTCAAATCGGTAAAATGAACGAGACTTAAAGTCATGCTATTTATTAAGTCTCCTAAACAATATTAATTTATATTCACACCCTTAAATATTTCCCTACTTCAAAAAAAAAAAAAGAAGTTGTTGATAAGGATGTTTAATTTATTTAAATTTAAATTAGTTTGTATTTAGTTTGTCTTTAGTATTTAAGGTTTGAATTATTTCAATAGTAGTTATTTGATGATAAGTCTTTCGTTTAACTTAGTTATTAGATTAGTATTAGATTCAAATTCAAACTCCTAAGGTAACTCTCTATACATTGCATTCTCATAATGAAAAACTTGTACTATCGTGCTTTAAAGTATAAATCTTCTATTAACTTCATATTTTGACAAGTTTTTGACCCTCTTAAAATTATCCTAGACAATATGCCTCCACCTCCATGAATGACGCCTCTTATCACCGATTCTTAACCACCTCTAATTTTTCATTCCTCCTCTTTCATCATGGAGCACCTCCACAGAACACACCATCTTCTTTTTAATGACTCTATTTTTATAGTCATTTTCGCTCATATTTGTGTCTAAATTGGTTTTGTTCTCAAAGATTTTTATTGTTTTATTTGATTTTTAGTTTAGTTTCACTTTATTTTATTTAGTTTAGTTTTATTTTGTTTTAGCTCATTTTGTTTTAATTTAGTTTTTCCCTCTAATTATTTGTTGTCTCCTCATTTGTGTTTTAATTAGGTGAACTGGGCAATTTATAACTTAATTTGGGATTCAAATCAACAGAAAGTAGAGGATTAATTCGGATTAAAGCTTCCCACGCGCTGCCACGTCACCAGATCCTTCACTCCAAAGTAAGGTATGGATTGAACAAAAAAGCAAGTGAGTGGCCCCCTGAGGGGCTCACGAACGATTTAAAGTGTGGAACAACGAACAGGCGCGGTGCAGAAAAAAAGTGAAATCTACAAGCGAGGTGTCCAATGGGTTTGGCCTTAGATAAAAAATAAACTAGCGAGTGAAGTGCTTAACGGGTGTGGGGGAAGTATCCTCCCGAACCCCCTCTGTTACACCCAATCTACTGGATTTCTTCCTTCCCTCGTTCGTGCTAACGAGGCTTCACTCCTGTGAATCACTCACTTGTTCCTTGTAATATGTCATATTGTTCATTCATCAAAATATCATAAGAGATCAGAGAAACTTCAAGACGTACCTAGATTCTGCTTAATAGCCAGAACCCTGTCTCTGGAATCGTTAATACCATACCTCGGTATAACAGCAACATCCACGGCTTGAAGACAAGACGGCTCTAATTGAATAGCAACCCTGTTCGTCGAGTGAAAAACTTGACAGTTATACTTGACCGACGTCAGCTCCATATCGGATAACAGATGTATAGTAATTGTTTGAAATTTCATGCGTAACACATGCTTTTTCAAACAATTACTATACATCCGGGAGGTGAGATAGAAGGGAGAGGCAGCCCTCGTACCTAACGTATACTATAACAAGGAGCTATAGAAAGAGTAGTCAAATGAAACTAATAACAATAGGATTATCTATCCTGTTAAGTACATTTTAATTGTATGAGCATTTTAATTGAATATAAACTTGAGTTATTTTCTTTTAAATAGGACCTATCATTGTTAGACTAGAATGTTATTTGTATTTTCTGTATAGTATGGTTAAGGGAAGGGGAAGGGATTACCAACTGAATTGCGCCACTTGTCCCTGCTTATGTCAGCAGCCGCCCTTTTTCTTGGTGCTGACGTGAGGGACTTTGGAGGCTTTATAAAAAAAAGGCTTTTGGCAGCCGCAAATGGGGAGACCCGCCCCCTGCACATTGAATTCGGCATAGCGTAATACCCAAAAAAATATTCAAGCTCCATTGGAGAGTTGTAGAGAAAAATATCTGGCGAATTATTTTCAAAAATTTAGGGTTGTTCTTAAGATTTTATTTTATTTTTATTTAGGATTATTAGAGACTGTATTTTTTGAAGGCACCTGAAGGAGAAGAAGAAGATTTAGAAGATGGAGACCTGTGACACTTTTAATTGAGTTTATTTTCTAATTTTTTAATTCTTTATATTTGTTCTTTAATTATACCGGAACTAATGTTTTAGTTTTATTTTTCTGGGGTTACAATGTAGTCGGATTATAATTTTTTATTTTTAGTTAATTCATGTTTTATTTTTAAATATGTTGAGTGTTTCAATTTGTGTTTAATGCTTGTAATTGTCTGATCAATAATTGCATGAATTGGTGTTTAATTTTGAGACTGAGAAGTGATGTTTAATATGAACCATGATTGGAATGCCATTAAAACATCATAAGTTAGAGATAATTATGTGACTAGTAAAGTGGTGATGATTTCTTGTTCTTAATGAATCTCAACATGTTAAAATCTTGACAGAGATGTAGAGTATGCATGTTTAAGGTATGATTATTAATGCTTGGGAAAGATTACTAATTAATTTAGAAAAATTCATTACCAGCATTGGAAATAGACATAATTAATTTAAATAGAGATTTTCATATATAATTGATTTTGGTGAGTCGTAGGCTTGGATATTTTAGGTTATTTATTTTATTTTTGTTATATTTGGTTTTATTATTTTCATCTCAATTTTGATCGCTTGAATAATGTTAGGGTTAACCAATTTCGGTATTTAATTGAATTAATGCAATCCTTATAAAATCGACGCTCTATTCATCACTTTATTACTTGTTAACAATAACGTACACTTGCGTTACAATTTTCCGCAACACTTTCCTTCCTTTTTTCCTCCGAACACATCATCCTTTATCTTACATGACGCCTTCATTCAGATTTTCACCCATAGGCTACACCCTAATACCCACGTCCTAATACTCCTTTCAGAATCCTCAGACCAGCCACATCCATACTACCTCATGACTTGAACAAAAAAAGCAGCCCTCTACTTCCCAACACCAGCAGATTAAATTCTTCTTGCTTTTTCTATTTCATAGCAAACAAAAAAAAAATATCCATCACCATTTATTCCTCTTTCTCCACACTTTTATTGCTCCAACGAGCAACACTTCATATCCCAGGCAGTGCGCGTCTCCATTCCTTTAAGGCTGAGAACCTCCAAACCTAAGGCAATGCACCTCTAAATCTAGGTCGAGAGCTCCAACTTGTTAGAGAGATCGTAATATGTCTTAATCAAGATTACAAGTTGTTTATGTGTTAAAACATGAAAAACTCATGTTAAAGGGACTTCAAAAGTGCTGCAGCGAGTTTATAAACGTTGCAGCGGACAAACTGCACAAAACCGTACAGGTTGGTTCGGCCAATATTTCAGCTGCAGTCGAAATATTTCAGCTACAACCGAAATGTTCGCGCTGCAGCGCCCTTTTTCAGGCCTCTCAGGTTCGTTTGCGCACTGCAATGGGAAAACACCCGTTGCAGTTGAAATTCTGCAGAAAAACATTATTTTCATGAGGTTATGTGATCTGAAACGTCTAGAATCATTACATCCATTGGTAATATGTTTTCATACATATCTATACACCAATTAGCAATAGATATAACTATTATAATAGTTGTATTAATCTATGAAAAGATACCTTTACATTGAAAATGTACCTTTATGTGAATGGTTGTAATGTTTAAAGAGTATGCATTCATTCATGAAATGACACCTCTGTCTTTATTAATTCTCCAGAAAATTTACATACTTAATTGAATGTTCTGGGACTCAATATTATTGCTAGATATTGTGTTCAAGAGTTTGTTGTATCTTAGGGGTAATTTGCTATTAAAACTCATTAGCAAACTTTGAGAAGTGAGGACAAATAAAACCTTAAAGGAAAGTATTCCTATATGCCTCAAACCCTCTCTTGTTTTCTGCATTCTTTTCACCCTCTGCACTCAAATTCTCCAACACAACCAGCTTAGGCAATGCGCCTCCAGACCTCAGGCAATGTGCCACCAATACCCTAGGTAACGTGCCTCCAAACCCCAAGCAATGAACCTCTAGCAGTTCCTCTGCGCCTGTCTCCATGCGTTCGTGCCCCTGCACCCTCTTCTCCCTCCCGACGATCGTCGTCTCTGCCCAAGCGCCTCCCCTATTCTCTTCCCGACGATTTTCGTCTCTGCACCCAAGCGCCTCCCCTCTCCTCTCCTCAATGTTTTGTCATTGTTGCAACCACACCTACGCCTCATTACTTATGTCACTTTCTTCTATTACAGTTTAAGATTGGGTTCTCCTATGGGAGTTCTATTTTGCGGGGACATGATAGGAATGATTAATTTATTTTAATTTAAATCAGTTTGTATTTAATTTGTGTCCCTAGTATTTAGATATTAGATTAGTACTTATCTTTTAGTTTAAGGTTTGAATTATTTTAAATAGCAGTTATTAGGAAATAAGTATTAGTTTAAATTAGATATTAGATTAGTATTAGATCCAAATTCAAACTCCTCATCTAACTTGATATATATTGCATTCTCATGAATGAATTTGTACCATCGTGCTTTAAAGTTTAAATGTATTAGTTGTAAACTTGTAATGAATGTCAATCACCAGCCATTTCCTATTATTGGATCATCTAATTAACAGGAACCATTCCAGTTCTATTTATACAAAAAGAAAAGGAATCATTAATCTAGTTCATGTGTGGGACTTGCATTAAATATTTGTGCCAAAGATAGCTACCGCACTATTTAATTTCCGTATGACAGATGCAGGAAGACAAATAATTAACTTTTGTTAAATTTTGTACGTTTATAATATGTTTTTCTTTTTTGGGTGGGAAAAAGAATAACAAGCACCAGATCAATCCAAAGACCAGGGGGGGGAAAAAAAGCAGGAAATGAGCCAATATTTACCACATATATTCCTATTGCAGCGAACAACAAAATTCAATCTTTGTCAAAGAATAAAAAAAGGGAAGAAAGAAATGAAAACCACTATATAGGAGGACATGAGCAGTCGATGATCAACGAGTAAAATTCATTATGCGGCTCATTTTGCTACATTTGTGGGCATATATACGTGAAAATATAATAGCAATTCTCAAGTGAACCGAAAAAATTGAGCACCTGCTTCTTTGGTTCATAAATTTAAATAAAAATTTAAATTTAGGATAAAATCATTTTAATACCTTATGTTATAAGAAAACATGCTCTTGATACTCTGTATTTTTGATAATATTAAAATGATACATTTACATTTACAAAAACGTTTTTCTAATACCTGTAGGCCATTTTTTTGAGACATAAAATGTCATTTTTACCCTTTTACTTAATTTGCACATCATTAATTTTTATAAAACATATTAAAAATATTTAAAAATATATGAATAAAAACAACAAATATTAAACCGCATATCCAAAAATAAATAAATAAACAAATAAACTTCATAAAGTTAAAAAAAAAAAAACACGTCCCTCTACAGCAAATCTTCCAACAAGATGCATCTCTCTTGCAACAAATCTTCCAATTTATCCCACCATTAACCATTTTCATGACAAATCCTCAACAAATCTTCCAATCTTCCAAATTCCAATCTCAGACAATGAGAGAAATCTTTCAATCTCAAAAAATGAGACAAATCTTCGGGCCCGTTTGATAACGTTTTCAAAATGATTTTGCTTTCAATACAAAAGTTAAAATGAGAAAATATTTTGAGAATCATTCTGGGACTAATTCTAAAATTGCGTTTGGTTAGTTTTTTAAGAGATTGTTTTCAGTTTAATAAAAAAGTGAAATCGTGTTTGGTTATAATTATTAATTAATATATTATAACATTATTGACAAATACTAGGAAATGAAAGCATAAAATGAAAAATAATTTTTAACAATTTTCTAATTCTTTCACAAAAACCATTTTCACTATTTTTTGTTTTCATTTTTATTTTTAAAATATTTGCTAAACAAACACGGTTTGAAGACCGTTTTCATTTTCGTGTCTCAAAAGGTGTGCAAAAACGTTTTCAAAAACAAGCAAAAATCAATTCCAAACGCAGTCTTCTATTTTCATCTCTCTGTAATAAATCTTCCGAT